GGTAAGGCACAAGCCACGTGGCAAGGTATAGATTTATAGAAATGGATTAATTTAAGATATAAGAACAGTTAGCAAGAAGCCTGCCATGGCCATACAATTTGTAAGCAATATAAGTCTCTGTGTTTACTTGGTTGGATCTGAGAGGCTCTGGGACTGGCAGGTGTCAGAGATTTGTCCTGACTGTGGGCCAGGCAGGAAAACTCTAGCTATAAGTGGCACCCAACATGGTGGCAAGAGTTTCCACCTAAAACCTGAGAAAAAAATTCTAAAATAGAGCTAAAAATAGTTCCTAGTTGTCTCTCTCAAGTTTAGCGGCAGCCTGTGTGTTTGAGTTACTATGGTGGGTTCCTGGCGTGTGCGCTCAATCTGTAGTATGGCAGGAATGAGGCCTCTGCAAGTGGCACATTAAGCTGCATGGTGGATTTAGCCTTTGCTAGTACAAAACAAAAAAAAAATAGGTTTCTGGGCTACATGCTGCTTGGATAAAAGCATCGACCCATGATAGCTCCCAGAGCTGGCGGTAAACATACCATGGCCATACACTTTGTAAGCAATATAAGTCTCTGTGTTTACTTGGTTGGATCTGAGAGGCTGTGGGACTGGTGGGTGTCAGAGATTTGTCTTGACTGTGGGCCAGGCAGGAAAACTCTAGCTACAAGTATCAATGAGCCTCACTCACATCTTAGCTCGGCATAGTTCTATCATGAAGCAGTGTCCAGATATTTAAGCCAAACCTCCCCAAACAACATAGGCAATCTATGACAGCTTGGTGTAGCTCCAGCTTGTCCATCATCTAGTTAATGTGCCTGACTAATACAATTCTGGGAAGAACCTCAATGCAAACTTTACCTTTCCATATAGCTCTATTATCAAATAGTAAGTTGTAGGCCAGGACTGATGAAAGCAGCCTACTAGCTGGTACTAATATATTCTAATATTTGGATTTAAATCCATTATCTGGAATGCTATATAAAAATCTGATCTAAATTAGTAAGATAATTTATTTTAATATCCACTTGTCTTAAAACATTTTCTGAGGCCATATAAGATATTTTGAGTTTCATAACCACATATCAGAATTCATAAAATAAGGTGGATGTGGTGATATTTTGTGTATGCTCTAAGAAATAAAGCTTGCCTGAAGACCAGAGGGCAAAGCCAGCCACTAGTTAGCCATAGAGGCCAGGTAGTGGTGGCACACACCTTTAATCCTAGCATGTGGGATCTCATGCCTTTGCTCCAAGTACTTGGGAGGCCCGCAAACCTTTAATCCCAGCACTAGGGAGGTTGAGACAGGAAGTGTGATGGCTGGGTGGAGAAAGGAATATAAGGCGGGAGGAGACAGGAGTTCAGTCTTTTCCATTGAGGAGTTGATGAGGTAAGAGTGACTGTGTTTTGCTCCTTTATTGCTCTCTGATCTTTCAGCACTTGCCCTGATATCTGGCTCTGGGTTTTTATTAAAACCAGTTAGGACTTATGCTACAGAAGGATATTTCTTATTTGTAAATTTATACATTTCTATTTCACATTGAGAGAGAAAAAGCAACCTTTGTTGAGTATGGCACATATGTCTGTGATCTACTTCACACCCTTTGACCTTCTTTCCCACTCTGTGCCCTTGACTATTGGAGCCCTAATTATTTCTTTGGTGATGCTCCGTCTATCTTGTATAGATCACATATTGATTATTCTACACAGGGAGACATGTGACTCAGCTCTGCCCAGTGACATATAAAAGGTTACTTTACTAATAGACAGTGCTGTTTAGAATACAAAGCCAATCTCAGAGAGAATTTTAAGTCTCATTTTTCTTCTTTGCTTTTTGAAAGTCTGGTGCTGTTTAAGTCATTTTGTCATTACAAGTGACCAAAACTAGAATGAGAATGGAAGATAATATCAAAGATTAGTGGGACATAGTTTCCGACATAACTATTGAACAGTTGATTTAAAGTCAACCACTATCATCCTAGGAGTGTTTGTTAAAAAACAATTAGAATCTCATCTGTTGTGGTCTGAATGTTTGGTTTCCTCCAAAGGCCTATGTTGAAATTCTTCCCCATGATGTTGTGAGGAGGAAGGGTCTTTGGGAAAGTAAAAAGGTCAGAAATGAATGTGACTCTTTCATGCATGAGAATAAAGCCCTTCACTCCTTTCAACATGTGAGGATGGAGCAAGAAATAGGAAATAAGCCTCTGCAGACATGTAATCTACTAGGGCACTGATCTTGGCCTTGTTGGTCTCCAGAACTGTGAAAAGTTTCTAATTAAAAGCTATTGGGTCTTGGGTATTTGGTTATAACAATTCAAGGAGACAAAGACATTATTCATTTAAGCTCCTTGTGTCTCTTTTGCTTCTCACTAAAAACATTTAAAAATTACATTTCCACCAACTGGTAGGTGGTTCACATACTATTAGATCCTTTTAATAATAGATCTTCACAACTACTAGCATAGATATTATTAACTGCTTTTATGGCTAAGAGCTTCATCTCATAAATTATGTAAATTCACACAGCTAGAGAATGATAGTAGAGGCACTTGATCCAAGTCCTCTATGAATTAAAAATCCAGAGCTTTTCAACAGCAAGAGTCTGCTTCTATGGCAGAATAAAAGCAAGCTACTTTTAATCATGTAGTTAAAAATCACATTTATCAAGATCATTAAGTCATATGGAAAATATAAAATATAAAATATCATTAATATAAGGAGGAGATGGTCTTGTTTTACCAAAAAAAAATTAATAAAAAGGCTGAGAATCTGAAGCTTCACACTGTTTTCAACCTGGGGGTGAAATTTCACTCTCCTTGCTCTACACAGAGTTCTCACATATATTAGAGCAGCCCTATATTTTAACATGTGAATAAGTATTGTAATTATATCCATTTTACTGATAAGAATACTATGGCTTAGTGAACCTAAAATAACTTTGCTGAGGTTAACTTTACTGGCCTGTCCTTGGAGACAATGATGCTCGTTGTTGTAGGCTCTGTGCATATAACCTGCCATCTCCCCACCCTCAGGCCAGCATTGCTTCTCCACAGCTGCATTTTCCTTAGAGTGCATCACACTACCGTTAGTATTTATGGTAGCAGAAACAAATTTGAATAGTTATTACATAATAAGATTTGGGTTAAAAAGACATGGATTTGAGATTTGATGCTGTCACAACATGACTAACAGGTACTGATATTTACACTAAGAGTCAAGTCCTGTGTCTAAATGCAGGGATGATGATGTTACATGTTATTTTGAAGGTCTGCAAAGATAATGTAATTGAATCATTCCCTCTTCTCACATTCTCTGTATGTGCCATAGCAACTGTATTATCTCTACAGAACTGAAATGCTAAATGTCATCTGTCTTTGTGTATTGAATAGTTATCACAACAACGTAGATTCATGTCTTGCAAACAGCAGAAATTATTTTTCACAGTTTTAGAGGCTGAGCAGTCCAGCGTGGTCATGTTAGGAAGGACCCTTTTGCAGGTAGCAGATAGTCAAATTATCCTTGCATCTCTACATGAAAGATGAGGCAATTTGACTTCCTTAGAACTATTTGATAAAGACTTTGCTCCTCTTGTCCCTGACTAGTAGGCCTACCTCTTTACACCATAGCATTAGTAATTAGGGTGGAACACTAGAACTTGAGGGAACAAAGCTACTCAAAGCAAAACCATCTACCATGTCACCTCAAATTTCATGTCATCCTCAGATGCAAAATATATTAATTCTGTTCTCCACATCTTGACTTGGTTCACCCTCAACTAAAATGTCAAATGTCCAGTCTTACTTAAATTTCATCTTAATCATATGAAGACATGACTCAGGATAAAATTCACTCTGAAACTAATTCCCCTTCATCTGTGAACTTTCTCTGATTGGGAAGGTTTTCCCCAAAACCCTCCTCCTAAAGGCTTGATCCTCATGTTGGTGTTACTGGAAGTGGGTACTGCTGGAAATTGGAAGAGATAGGCCTTATTGTGTGGTCTCTTCCCTTCTTACTTTCTCACCCTTATTCAACATGCTCCAGATAGAGGCCAACTGAAGGTAGAATGGGACCTCCAAGACCATGAGCCATAATATACATTAGTCTTTTTAAGTTGATTATCCCTAATATTACACTAACAGAAAGCTGACTTATGCAGAACTTGTTAAATCAAACAAATTGTGAATTTCTAAAATACAATGGTAGTATAAGCAAAGGAGAGGTGTCACTGTCCAAAAGGAGGAAACATGAAAGAAAGGGGTAGAGAGTCACAAGTAAATCTACAACCCAAATCTGACTCTAATGACCCATTTCTATATATTCTCTGTGGGGCACTTCTGAATATTATTACATTGTCAATAGTTCCTGAGAAGAGAATTTTCAAATTAAAAATATATAGACCACAGCACCTTCTTAAATGTGCAACGTGCAAGAAAGACTATAATTGGTATATGTGCTCCTTGAGTGTGGTTTTCTGTAAACCATACTCTTGAATTTTTTCTGTACACACACACACATAACATACACACACACCCATGCAAACACACACACACATGCAAACACACACACACACACACACACACACACACACACACACACACACACACGAGAGAGAGAGAGAGAGAGAGAGAGAGAGAGAGAGAGAGAGAGAGAGAGAGAGAGAGAGAATAGGCATGGGGGAATGGGAGCCATAAAACAATACAAATGTAAGTAGCAATTGGAAGATGAATACTAAGCTTAGGCTGTTCTTGATTGTCCATGTCTTTGGGTGTTGACAAGGGTCCCTAGCCAAGTGTGTCAAATAAGACTGCACACAGGTGCCATGGAGCCTAAAGCTGTGGTTTACAAATGCCCCAAAATGAAATGACTACAACGAATCCCACGGGAACTAGCTAAAAAGACAAATTTCAGGTGTTGCACTGGAAATGTTAATTTGGGACTTCTAAATCTAGAAATTTTCACAGATATTGTTTTGTGTATGATTTATTAACCAAGCATATTTTGAACATAATTACCTGAATTACAACAACGTTTTTCTTTTGACTCCACCATTATCACTCTGGTAAGTGCATAGTTGTCTAAACATCTCCATATACAGTTGTTTCATGTTTCCTCCAACACCTTCTATAGAAGCATGCTAGAACAGGGAGAGCAAATATTGTTACATGAATGAAAACATTTACAAAATATCAGGAGACCAATAAGACAAATACCATGTGAGCTTTAAAATTGTTGGTACTAATTACCCAATGGTCCTTGCAAACAAAGTAAAATATCCATGAATACAGTATCCAGTTAGAAGGATAACCTATTTACAACCACTACAAAGCCCTTAGGAATCATTGTATATAACCTGTTCACTAGGAGGTAACTATGTTTATGTCTTATTTGAATTTTCTCTATGAAAACAACATCCCAGAATTACTGCCTCACAAAGGAAATTTCACTCTAACAAATACAGAACATGTAAGTTGTGACTGCAACTACAAAGAAACCCCATTAAATGTGCCAAATCCTTGATTTCTGTTTTTATGTTTATCTCCATGTGGCAAAATTACATTTGACTCCAGAATATTCTTAGGTAATGAATTATCACAAAGAACTAAATATATGGAAGGCTAATCAAAAGAAAAGCAACACTGAGTGAAGTAAGTGAAGGGGGCCAAAGTATTCCTCTTTCCCCCAAGTAATTCCCATCATGTCTCAGTATGGAAACAGCTGAAGTGGACCTATCAGCAGCATTTTCATTTCATTTCTCCTGAAATGGCACATTTCTAATCAAATTAATTGGGATCAGCCTGAACTTCCTGTTAGACAGTTCTTCTTCTTTTCTAAAACCTTGGTTCCAACATCTTGGAGAAGTAGTAATGGAACCTATGAAAACATTCACATAATTTCCTATATTATTGTTGTTGAGACAATTTGATAACCATCTCCAGTCCTCATTAAAGCTTTGTCCTTTAATGATGAATCTTTGACCCCACTTCCAAGATTCTTCTTTAATCAGTTCCTAAATCACAGGCCCTAAGAGTGTGGTCCTCAATATAGTGTGTTCAGAAGAGAATTCCCAGGGTATACCCTTGCTTATTAAACCAGAAACCCAGTTGGTATAGCCTAGAATGGCTGTTCTAGTGCACAGAGAAGTTGGGAGCTGTTGCCTAGAATCATGTCCAGCATGGGTTCTCCACACCTGGAAGACAAAACACTTCTCAGCACTGGAGGCCAGCCTGCCAATGTGTTTCCTTTACAGACTTAGTTTGCCTATCATGGATAGATTCCTGTGACCATAGTTGAATCTGAGCATTGGGATAGTGTTTGATCTATCTTCATCCTCTTAGTCCAAAATTATAATACAGTCATTATCTCAGTTTGCTCCACAGCAATGTTCATTCAGTTATCATCAGAGGAGCTTCTTCCTGCAGCTGATGGGAACAAATAGAGAGACTCACAGCCAACCATTATGCAGAGAGTGAAAGACTTTGTAACACTCAGCCCTAAGTGGGATGTCTCCATCTAATCCTTCCCCTCAGAGCTCAAGGAATTCTATAGAATAAGAAGTCAGAGGAAGTGGAAAGAGTGTAAAAACCAGAGGGGATGGAGGACACCAAGAAAACAAGGTTCTCTAAATCAACATAAGCAAAGCTCATATGAACTCACAGACTGAAGGATCATGCACTGGGCCTGCACAGGTCTGCACCAGGTCCTCTGGAGATATGTCATTGCTTCCAGTTTAGTATTTTTATGTGTTCCTACATGTGCAAATGAATGAGTCTCTGATTCTTGTACCTTTTCTTGGGCTCTTTTTCTTCTGTTGGTTTATTCTGTTCAACTTCAATATGATAGTTTTGCTTTATCTTATTATATTTTGTTATATTTTGAAAAAAGAAATGAATGAATAAATGGATGAATGACAACCTAACCACTAAGATAAAGGTTAACAACTAAACTGTCACTTATACCTGCTGGGAGAGGGAAAAGCAATTTCTCCAGTGGAGTGACACTAGGTATATCAACCACTTCCAGACAGACCTCATGTTCAGGAGCAGTTGATCAACACATAATGGACTCCACAAGTTTTTTTGTGGGTGATTTATTTGGTTGTAATTTGTTTTCTTCTTTTTTTCTTTGTGGGTGGTATTTTATTATATTTTCTTGGTTTTGGGGGAGTTTGTTGTTGTATTAGGTTTTTGTTTGTTTCTTGAGAAAGAACTTAAAGTTTGGTGGGTAGGAAGGAGGAGATGTTCTTGAAGGTCTCAGGGGAGGGGAAGAATATGATGAAGATATTTTAAATTTAAAAATTGTTTTAAATAATAAAAAAACATAAATTTAAGAAACAGACTTATGCTCATTAATAATCACTATCATTGAGGTTTAGTTTCCACTAATGTGGTAAAGAAGTCAGCCAATCATTCACCTTCCCATTGTATAGTCAGAGTTAATCATAAAATACATATTTAAAATATTCTGGGAGCTAGAATTACCATGCAAAGAGATGTGTCTTTATTCTTTTAGACTATTATCTGGGGAAAAACTTTACTATTTCTTCAAAACTGAAAAGGTGAATGGATAAGTTCAAAGGTATGTAGATTAGATTTCATGCTGTTTTTGGAATTGATATTCTGCTATTATTATCTCTCACCTGATAATATGAGAAACTGCACAAACTGAAAATATATTTTTCACCTAAGTTTTGTGAGTTTGCAACTTTAATATGAGCTGCAATGTTGCAAATATCTCTGGGTAATCTTAAAGTATAATATTGTGTCTTCAAAGTGAGCTATCATATAAATGTTTGATGAAATTAAGTATCAAACTAGACTTCCTCTGAAAATCTGAGAACAAACAGCTTAAAGATTTAAGTCACAATTGGAGGCTGGGGTTAAATAAGGGAGATGATCTTGATTAGGAGGGAAAGCTCTAGAATTTTTCTATTGGATTTTGTAGAGGAAGAGAACTTTACACCATGTCCCTTTGTTGCCTGTAGAGACCATCAAAGTGTCACCAACATAGTTCTTCACAAAGTGTGTCTCTAAATAATTCTGCAGTTAGTGCCACCTCTGGTGAGAGGAAAGGATGTGCTGTATTCTCTGTTCTAATTCAATCCTGTAAGTATTGATTGAGCTCCTGAGACACATTCAGCCAAGGTTGACCTAACTGGAAGCTGTAGCAGCCAGCTGCCTATACTTTCTGCTTTAGATAAAGCAGCAAAGCTTCTGGGTTCTACATAGCTATCTCCCTCACCTTCCTCTTGCCGATAGCACCTGAAATTCTGCTATCTCCCAAGCTATATAATGCATTCTCCTACAAGATACATTTCATGAGTATATGTCTCAAAAGTGCTCCCAGGTTGGGAAATATGCCCTCTGTACTTCCTCTTAGAGATTTTTTATGTTTGTTAGTACAAAGACTAAGAATGCCTTCTACAATGGGATAGTTTTAGCATTTCCCAGGGTTATTTAGCCATAAATCTCTTCCCCTTCTTCTTAGTTTCTCTTTCCTCTTATATTTTTTGTTTTTCTTTATTATATATATTTTTTGAGGTGGGATTTCACTATGTAACCCTGAATAGCCTCAAACTCTGGGATTAAAGGTGTGTGCCACCACACCTGCCCCCTCTTATATTTAAGTATTGATCCATACTTTGAGCTACAGTTGGGCATAAGAAATATCCAGTTCTACAAGACATAGAATTAACTTTTCTCCCTGTACCAGTCATCAGGAAGCATACAACTGACAATTCTCTTCTAATCATTTACATCAGTCTTGCTTAGAGAACCATGTTATTTAAAGGGCATTCATTTTAGAAACTCAGATAATCCTGGGTTTTATCCTCCTTTATTGGAATGATCCACACTGTCCCCAATCCATGGGAATCAGATTTTAGCACCTGTCTGAACACTTCAAGAGGCTAATCTCTTGAAACCTCAGCATGGAGTCCCAAGGTGCTTTCCTTTTCCCGAGTTCTATCAAATCCACATATTGGATACCTGATCTGATATGTCTATTTTTATATTTCTTACTACAAATGATACATCTTCTGATTGGATTATGAGGTTAACAAAGAAAAAACTTACCTGCATGTTATCTAACATAATGCTTGGAAGAACAAGGAAGCCCAACAGATAATGACTGTTGAATGACTACAGGCGTCCTGGATTCCCTTTACTAGTTTTTCTCTATTTACTTAGTCATGATCTACTTACTGTATGGAGGAGTGGAATCTGTTTGTTGTGGTGAGGAACCCTGAGAAAATGGGACAACCAGGATCTGGCAAGGTTCAAAACTCCCAGAAAGACATCATTTGGAGAAGTAGAAGGTAGCTGTCTTAGAGTACAGAGAGTGAAGGGAGAATAAAGAATGCTACACAATGGGGCAAAATAATATACGTTTTCCAGAGGGGAATGCCATATCAGGACTTAGATGAATCCTTGAACAAGGCTGTGTCAACCCTGGGAGGGCTTATGTCTAGTTTTGAGTCATGGTTTTATGGAATTGGTAATCTAAGCAGTTTGATGTTACAGACAAAGCATAAGCTCTGTTCCCATTTTCACAGGTTCTAACCCACATTCTGCCATAGTGTGCCATATGTGGGATGGCATATAAGAATGAACTTTAAGCTCACTGAGTCTCAATTTCCTTATATAATTTCCTGGGTGTTAATTACACTGTCATATTCTAATTCTGCTGCTATAACAGAATACTGAGGTGATCTAATACTTACATTGGGTAATAACCACATTGCAGAAATTTATTTCTGAAAGTTCTGAAGGCTAGAAAGCATAAGGTCAAGGCACAAGATGTTTGAGTGTCTAGTCAGGGTTTGTTTTCTGCTTTAAAGATGGTGACATCTCTGTCTTATCATGTACTAGAAAGGCAAGCCAGGGATGAAAACTCTAGCCCCTGTATAATACTTGTCTCATTAATAGAGGCACAAGGCTCACAACCTAATCACCTTGAAAGGTCCCAAGCACTTAATATTATCACTTTGAGGTTCATATCCAAGTATGGAATTTCAAAGGCCACATTCATTTGAGCCATGGTGCATACTTACTACATACCCTACTTGTGAATATCAAATGAGCTGATATGCCATATGCTAAGACAAGTATATTCCATATAATGGTCATTCCATAGCCA